AATCAGGCCCACAAACATTGATAAAAGTCGATGTTCATCTCTTTACCTCTCATGCCCCTCCCTTTCCATAGGGATGTGGGCAGGGCACGAATGCACATGTAACAACCCTGCACCAACCCTTCCACCTGTTCTGCCGTCCCCCAGTCTATCACCCATTTGACTATTGCCTGTCGCCCTTGTTGCGCACCCCTCCCCTTCAATAGGGATGTGGGTGTTCTCCTTTGTTAATGACCCACCTGCCGACGCTCGTGGCCCCCTTTCCTTTTCCCTTCCTCCCCTCTCCGTACCTCCTCCTGTCCTCGGAGCCACGGCATTCTAGAGATGTCAGGTAATGTTGTGACGGGGCGGTATTTCTTCTCACCCACCTCCCACCCTCTTTTTTGCCCTCTTCCTCTGCTTGACCCATGGCATCACAGCAACATGGTGACAAAAACACCAACACGAAGGCATGGAAGCCTGGCAACAAAGACAAGAAGGACATGATGTGAGCCCTATGGTGAGTGAGACAAAAACACCGGAACACGAGACCGACACAGCATAGTGGCAACACGAACACAAGCACCAGGGTGCGACCAGCGACTAGACAAATGCAAGCATGAGCAGGTGCAGGAGTTCAAGCACAAAAGGATGGAGGAGCGTGGGTGGGTGGAGGACGATGAGCAGGTGGAAGGCAATGAGCAGTTGGAAGGCAATGAGCGGGTGGACAACAACGAGTGGGGAGAGGACAAGTGGGTGGATGATGATGAGTGGGGAGAGGATGACAAGCGGGTGGATGACAATGAGCAGGCGGACAATGATGAGTGGGCAGATGACAACGAGTGGGTGGACAACAACGAGTGGGCGGACAACAACAAGCAAGCGGACAACAACGAGAGGGTGGACGACGAGCACGGGCAGGGGGAGGAAGACAAGCAGGAGCTAGGGTGGGCGGTTGGTGATGGGAGGTCAGCCTTGTCTCCCCATCCACCTGCTGCTCCTCTCTTGCCTTGCCCTCTCCCTCTCCCATGGGTGACTACAGGATAACCAGGATGGCAAGAGGATGCCAATGTGAATACGAGCACAGCACCCAGGCAAGGACGAGGTCCCAGGGCAACAGTGGCACCATGAACATGACGACAACACCAACATGAGGCCAGCACAAACACGACAGCACTGACACAGGCGACTGGGCGACCAGGCAAGAACGATGACCAGGGAGCATGATCAAGGGAACATGGGGACCAGGTGGACACACTGGCAAGGTGAGCAGGATGGTCTGCAGGGCACAACAACAACCTCAGCACAGCGACAACCACACCTCAACAACAACAACCACACCTCAACAACAACAACCACACCTCAACAACAACAACCACACCTCAACAACAACAACCACACCTTGACAACGACGACCACATGACAGTATGACCACGACCATGCCATGATGATGACCACAGCATGAGCGCAAGCGGGCATGGCACGAAGGCTAGTGCGAGCAGCCCAGCACGAGGGCAACGACCACGACTGACCCCAACCCAACCCCAGGAGCAGAAACGGTGTGCATGAACATGCCGTTTCTGCTTGCTTCATCTATACCTCAAAGTGGGTGGCTCTACTAGCCACCCATGTCATGTAATACTTTTATTTCAATTTAATATGATTTTTTGTCATTTTTTCGAGTGTGTCCGAGCTTGCCAGATGTTGCAGTTCTAAAATTAGAACAACATCCAAACCACTACCTGCCCATCCACCCATCCTGCTCTCCCCTGAGGCGCACAAACACCTGAAATAGGTAGTAAGTAGTCCCGACATTATAATCCCAAAAGATGGGCCTGCCCACTGTCCCCAATGCTGAGCTAGAGGCCACTTACATTGCCGGGCATCTCGGAGAGACATTCTCCTGTGTCATACCCAATTTGGAAGCTTTCCCGCACCCTGTCCTGACCCCCATGACGACAAGCACCCTGTTCAATGTCCTGAGCATTGTTTGGTCATTGTTTAGTGTCCCCACAGCCTCAGCAGACAGTCCCGAGCCCCAGCAAACCCAGCAGCATATAGAAAATAGCCTGGCTGCCTACTGGCAGCTATGATTTATGAACAAGAATTGCCAGTAGGCTATTATTGATACATATCTCTGGCTGTTACAAGTGGGTATGCCCTGCATACTGGTGCTACACCTTTGAAGCCCAAGATCTTTTGGAGATACCTGGGCTTCTATTTTGACTGCGGGCTCACCTTTCATGAGCACGTCTGCTATTATGCCACCAAGGCATTCACCACTGTGCAGGCCATGCACATGCTCAGAAACTCTACCAGGGGTCTTTGCCTAGACAACAACACCTCCTTTATAGATTGTGTGTGGTTCCCATTGCCATGTATGGTTATCATCTCTGGTATTTTGATGGCGCCCATAACAAAGGCACCATCAACCAGCTCAAACGGATGCAGTGAAAAGCTGCTCTATGGATTACAGGTGCTTTCCACACCTCTCCCACAGGCGGTCTTGAAGCCCTCATGGGTCTCATCCCCGTCCATTTCATGCTGAAGAAGTTGGCGATGTGTGCAGTGTACCATATCGCTACCCTCTCAGACACTCATCCTCTGTGCTCTATGATGGGTGTCACGACCCATTCCGTGCCGAAGACATCCAAGAGACATCTGTTCATAGCCATTTCGGTTCTTCAATTATATTGTTCTTTTGTTTGTTATTTGTCTTTGATTTTCCTAGCATACACGTGCCTCATTATTCTATTGTCATTAGCATACACATTCCCTCCACGAGTTAGACAGCTGACAGCTCATTGTCATAGGTAGTCCATTATTCGTTGTAGTATTTAAGGGACTGCAGGATGACCGAGTCTGGCAGTCTGAATATCATACTCAACTTCTAATCTCCTCCTCTCGTTCTCATCCATTCTCATCTGCTTGCATCTGTTTGACATCTGACACCGGCCTAAAAGCCTATACTCTGAAATCGGACTTAGACTATCTCGAGGGCACAACGCACAAATGTTGAAGCCAAAGTCCACATCCGAAATCTCTTCCGAAGCACATCCAAACACACCGGTCTCTGGCACACCTCGGCTCAGCACAGGTCGTAACAGTATATTCAGACTACAAGCTCGAATAGTCTGTCTACATGGCTACAGGTCGGCCTCGTCAAACAAGGACTGCCCAACAAGCTGGTATTCAAGAAACCATGCTTTCCTTCACCCATCATCGTCGTCCAACGGTTCCAACACTCCAACAACCTCTCCAACCTTCTCCACAAAACCCTTTCACTCCTTATCTTACACCCATGGCACAGCTCTACCTGGAAACACCAACTCGTGCCCCGGCCTCCGTATCCGCACCGTACCTCGATAACCCATGGGCACCCGAGCTGCAAGGTCCTCTCAGTCCTCTGCAAACACCTGCTCATTTTCCACCAGCTGAAAGCACTTACCTGAGGACCGGAACATACCAACCCACAGGTTTCCATACCCCGGTTCCTCTCTCTCCGGCTCTTCCAACTGTTCTTGAACAAATGGAAACGGAAAGCACAGATCATTTGGGAAGTGAACCTGCCGAAATTCGTTTCCTTCGGAACCAAACTCAGCTCACGGAAGCCATCCACCTCATGGCCAGGAACATGTCGAATATGCCCATGATGCAGCCGCATCAAGAGCCGACTCCTCGGCCCAAGTTGAAGGCTCTGGATGTGTTCGACGGTACAAGCGCCCAAAAGTTGGATCCCTTCCTCGTCCAGTGCATGATGTATATTTCGCTCTGGCCCCACAAGTTCACCACCGAAGACTCCAAGGTCAGCTTCATTATGTCGTACCTATCTGGCTCCCCCTACAACTGGTTCCAATCACAAATCACTGCCGCCCTCGAAACCGGTATGACCCAGCCGCTTCCGTGGCTTTCAGATGTTGCGCTCTTCATTCAGGAGCTCAAGCAACTTTTCGGCCCACGAGATCTGGTTGCAGATGCCGTTAACCACCTTGAGAATCTCACCTTCCGAGACTCCGGCAAAGCAACGCGATACACCTTGGAATTCAACCAGTATGCGGGTCGCACAGGATGGAACGAACAAGCCCTTTATCATCAGTACTACAAAGGACTTCCAAACCGGATCAAGGACAAATTTCCTCATATGGGCAAGCCAACCACCCTCATTAGTTTGCAGCGAACTGCCCAAGAACTCGATCATTGCTATTGGGAGCGCCAAAACGAGATCAATCGCGAAAAGCGCAAAGACAACGCCAACAGCAAGTCCGGCACCAGCAACAACAACAGCAGCAACAACTCCGGCTCATCAAACTCCAAAGGCAACTCAGCCAGGTCATCTTCCGGCTCTGGCTCTTCGAACTCCAAGTCCGGCTCCAACTCCAGCAACAACAGCAAGGATAAGGATAAGTCAAAATCCAAAGGCTCTTCTTCGGATAAGCCGAATCCTCTGGCTGACAAGTTGGGTGCCGACGGAAAGCTCAAGCCTGAGGAACGTGAACGCTGGCTCAAGGGAGGCCTCTGCCTCTTCTGCGGCAAAGCTGGCCATGTTGCTTCTGACTGTCGCAAGTGTAACTCCGCCAAAGGTCGCACCTCGTCTACTATGGCCACTCCTCCTTATACCACTTCCGCACCTGCCGCTCCGGCTGCGAAGGACACTAAGTCCAGAACAGCAAAAGAGTAAGCAGCCCTCCGCCTTTGGCATTGCCAGAGGGTTGTGGTTGCTCTTGCGATGTCCCCAAAGAAGTTTGCCTTAATGCCACAGCACTATCCGACCCCGACTCCCTCACGCTCCCTGTTACATTACACTCACGATCTACGGTTCCTGCCACCGGCTTGGTAGATTCTGGCTCCACTCATTGTTTCATTGACACTAATTTCGTATCTATACATAATGTCTCCACTTACGATATACCTCCTTTAGCCTTACGCCTCCTTGATGGGACTGTTAACACTTGGATAACCCAAGCTGCCGACATCCCTATCCGATATCCGACTGGCGACATTCTCTCCTTGACCTTCTTTGTCACTAAACTGGATTCTTCATGTGCCCTAGTGTTTGGATACAATTGGCTGCGTAATTACAATCCGTTGATTGACTGGACCACAGGCCTTTTACATTCTTTCTGACATCTTCCGCAATCCGAGGCTCTTCCGAGTCTATCGGGCCATTCGGCTTCTGCCTTACCACCCACTCCAGTCATTGCCGAGTCACTTCCAGTCCCTCCTATTCCTCCTATCCTGCCTACTCCTTCCCTTCCTTATGAACCTTCTCCCAAACCATCCACTCCCTTGCCTCACGTTTCCCTTATCAACGCAGTCGCCTTCGCACGCGCCTGCCATCTTCCGGGGTCAGTCTCGTTCCAACTGGCCCTATCCAGTGACGGTTCGGTCTCGGCTCGCTCTTTGGCTACCGACAACCCGGAACCCGTTGACCTCTCTTCCGTCCCGGAAGACTACCACGAATTCCCGGACGTGTTCAGCAAATCCAAGGCCGACACCCTCGCACCTCATCGTCCCTATGACCTCAAGATCGACCTCGAGGAAGGTGCCGAGCCGCCCCTCGGCCAGATGTATTCTCTCTCCCCTACCAAACTTCAAGCCTTGCAAGAGTTCCTGGAAGAGAATACTCGATCCAAGTTCATCCAACCATCCAACTCATCTCACGGAGCCCCTATCCTCTTTGTTCGGAAGAAGGATGGCTCTCTTCAGCTCTGTGTTGACTACCGCGGCCTTAACAAAGTCACCAAGAAGGACCGCTATCCCCTCCTGCTCATCTCCAACCTGTTGGACGCTCCCGGCAAAGCCAAGGTTTTCACCAAGATCGACCTTTGGCATGCCTACCACCTGGTCAGAATCGTGGATGGTGACGAATGGAAAACCACGTTCGGGACCCGCTACGGCTCGTTCGAATGGAGGGTTATGCCATTCGGCTTATCCAACGCTCCAGCTGCTTTCCAGCAATTCATGAATGACATCTTCTCGGATCTCATCGATGTTTCGGTTATTGTCTACCTGGATGACATTCTCATTTACTCTTCAGATCTCGCCTCACACAAGGAACATGTCAAGGAAGTGCTCCGATGTCTTCGGAAGCATGGACTTTACGCCCAGCCTGACAAGTGCGAATGGCACGCCGATCGTGTTGAGTACCTCGGCTATATTCTTTCGGCTGACGGTCTCTCCATGGTGGCTGACAAGGTCAAGATCATCCAGGACTGGCCTGAGCCATGGAAAGTCAAGAACATTCAGTCCTTCCTCGGCTTCGCCAATTTTTATAGACGGTTCATTTACAATTATTCTGACATCTGCGTTCCTCTCACCTGGCTCACTCGGAAAGGTGTTCCCTTCAAGTTTTCTGACGAAGCCCGGGAATCGTTCAACTACCTCAAGAAAGCCTTCACTACGGCTCCTGTCCTCACCCAATGGATTCCGGATCGGCCCATCATCCTCGAAACCGATGCTTCTGACTATGCCCTTGCTGCTATCCTCTCTATCGAGCTGACCAATGGAGAAATCCACCCAGTTGCTTTCCACTCCCATATGTTCAATCCAATCGAACTCAACTATGACGTCCATGACAAGGAACTTTTCGCGATCTATGAATCGTTCCGGATCTGGCGGCACTACCTGGAAGGCTCCGGCACTCCCATTGACGTTGTTACCGACCACAAGAACCTTGAGTATTTCGCTACCATGAAACTCTTGAACCGTCGGCAGGCACGTTGGTCCGAGTACCTAAGTCAGTTCAACCTCATTGTTCACTTCCAACCTGGCAAGCTCAGCACCAAACCGGATGCCCTTACTAGACGATGGGACGTCTACCTTAAAGAGGGAGGTAGCGACTATGCCACTGTCAACCCCCACAACTTCTGTCCAGTATTTACCCAGGAACAGCTGGCTACATCCCTCCGAGCGTCAACTCTGATCACACCCTCTCTGCGTGGAGCTATCACCCTTGACATCGAAAAGCTTCATGCTGACATCCGAGAAGCCCTTCCGAATGATCCAATCTCTGCTGCTCAGCTTCCGGCACCCTCTGACCCCAAGTTCACCCTCTCCCCTGACGGCCTACTACTTCTCAACAATCATATCTTTGTTCCAGACGTTAACAACTTGCGGATCTGTGTGTTGCAAACCAAGCACGATCATCCGTTAGCCAGTCACCTTGGCCAGAACAAGACTCTCAAATTGGTCCGACGAGAATATGCATGGCCCGGCATGCACAACTTTGTCAAAGACTACGTCAATTCTTGTGTTACTTGCAACCGAGTCAAGCCGTGCTGCCACAAGCCTTATGGGCTCCTTAAGCAGCTTCCAGTTCCTGAGCGTCCTTGGAATTCTATATCCATGGACCTCATTGAGAAGCTTCCGCCTTCCGCTGGTTTCACTGACATCCTAGTCATCGTCGATAGGCTCACGAAGCAAGCCGTGTTTGTGCCGACACATTCCGACCTCACAGCTGTCAAGTTGGCCGAGTTGTTCATCCTCAATGTATTCTCCAAGCATGGTGTCCCCTCTCACGTCACTTCCGATCGCAGTTCCAAATTTGTCTCGCACTTCTTCCAAGGCCTGGATAAGGCTCTCAACATAGAACTGCATTTCACTTCCGGCTACCATCCGGAAGGTGACGGCCAGACGGAACACACCAACCAAACCTTGGAACAGTACCTTCGAACCTACTGCAACTACCAACAAGACAATTGGGTCACTCTCCTTCCGCTTGCTGAATTCGCCTACAACAACGCTCCACACGATGCCACTGGCGTATCGCCCTTCTTCGCCAACAAGGGTTATCATCCGAACTTAGCCATGCACCTGGAATGCAACATTGCCTCTAGCTGTGCTCGAGAGTTCGCTGTTGACCTAGGAGAACTCCACGAGTTCCTTAAGGAAAACATTCGCGAGTCTCAAAAGCACTACCAAAAGGCAGCCGACAACCGACGTCTTCCGGCTCCGAACTTCAAGGTTGGCGATCAAGTTTTTGTCAAAGCTCAATTCTTCTGAACCACCTGTCCATCCAAGAAGCTAGCCAAAAAGTTCCTTGGCCCATACAAGATCATAGCCCAAGTAGGATCTCATTCCTTCACCCTCCACCTTCCCCAGTCTATGTGACTAGTCCATCCAGTGTTCCATGTCTCGATGCTCAAGCTGTTCAAGCCGAGTACCATTCCGAACCGTGCTGTTGAGCTGCCAGCACCCATCGAAATCAAAGGTGAACTCGAGTACAAGGTCACCGAGATAGTCAATTCTAAGATCGATTGACAACGCAAGTGCAAGCTCCTCTACTATGTTCGATGGTATGGTTATGAGAACACAGATGAGGAGTTCTCCTGGCAGCCAGCCAATGAACTCCCGAATGCTCAAGAACTAGTCCAAGAATTCCACAAGGCATATCCCAACAAGCCAGGCCCTTTGCCGGTTTGACCTCCGTCCTCTTCTGTTTTTCACTCGTTCGACCCATCTGCACTTCTCTATTTCTAAGTTTATATCTCTTCCGTTTATCTTCCGTTCACTTCCATTTTGTGCCATTCACTTCCGTTCAACCCTTCATTTCAAGAAAATTCAAGTCATAAAATTTTCAAGTCAACAAAAAAAAAATTTCTATATACAATTATGTACTTTTTTTCGTAGCTGTTCCTTGCCGCCCCGTACCTACTGGCTCACTCCCTCTCCCGTTCCCTCTTCTGGCCCCTTTTCCTTGTCTTCCTCCTTCTTCTCTGCGTGGGCCTTTTCGTAGGCCATGACAAACTGAGTCAAGAGCCAGTTGGTCACCTCGAGTTGCTCGAGGACCGCCCGGCTCATCGACTGTTGCTGCCGGCGCATCTTCTCCACGGACCACGCCAGGTGGACCAATGGGTCGTCCGATGCTTCGGCCTGCTCCCTCCTCTGCCTCCTTCGTGCCTGGTCCGCCCCAACAGCCGCTGCCCGACGCGTTCGTTCATGGCTAGGCCTGGCTCGCAGCGTTTCCTCCTCTTCCACCCTCACTCTCTTCAACCTTCCCTCTGGCTCAAAGTCCCCTTTGTCGTCATTGTCCCGCTTCCTCTTGCCGTCGTTGTTCTTCTCGAGCTGGTCGCACATCCACTTCGTAGCCGGCAGCACACATGTAATCTTGGCGTGCATGCAAGCCAGGCACAAGATGCCGGGTGGTGCACGCTTCATCCCCTTGCTGTTCTCGACGGCCATACGCCACTTCTCCATGGCACCTGGATTCCATTGGCAACGAATGCCAGCCACGATGCAGTGGGCACATGGCTCCTGCGTCACAGGCCAGCTCGCCTCTGCCTTCGCGATCCCCTCGTCCCGGATCCGGTTCCTCTCGTCTTGCGACTTCACCTTGCGTGCCGTCTTCGTCTTCCCCTTTGTGGCTGCAGCCATCCCCGGCTCCTTGTCATCTTTTTCGTCTTCTTCTTCCTCTTCTTCTTCTTGCCCCTTCTCCTTCTCCTTGCCCCTTCTTCCTTCTCCCTTGCTCCCACTCTCGCCCTCTGAACTACTTTCATCTACGACAGCCGTTAGCCACTGACTGACACCCAAAAATGAACTACTCACCGGATGACTTGACAACCCTGCCCTTGCCTTTGCGCTTGGTTTGTTCTACAACCACTTCTTCGTCCTCCTCATCCGTGCTTGGGTAGGCCGTAGGCCTAGCCGCCTGCTGTGCCGCTTCGGCTGCTCGCTCCTCTTCGGCCTTTCATTCTTCTTCAGCCCTTTTCCTCCTCTCCTCCTCAGCCCTCTTCTCCTCAGCCCTTTTCCTAGCCGCCACCTTACGCCTCTCAGCTGCCTCCTGTTCTTGCAGCCATTGTTGAGCCGCCGCTTCCTCTCACAGCCACTCCTCTTCCGCCACTTGCTCCACTGCCGCGAGTGCCCAGGCCATCTCCTCCTCCTCAGCCTTCTCCCTCTCCTCCTCCAACCGTCTCTGCCTCGCTTTCTCCGCCCTCTCCCGCATCTTCTCCTCTGCCAACTTCCTTTGTTGTTCGAGTAGGCGCTGGGTTTCGGATGTTTTGGTGGGGCTGGACATTGTGGAGTTCGGGTTTTGGGGGGCCAGGTGGTAGAGCGGAAGAGAAAATTTTCCGGACGCAAACAACCCTAAATGGCCAAGTTCAACATGGCATATACAATACCAAACATCAGCCACAGTAAAGGCCTTGGGGGCTCGGCCTTAAGGGGGAGGTACTGTCATGACCTGTTCCATGCCAAAGACATCCGAGAGACATCCGTTCATAGCCATTTCGGTTCTTTGATTATATTGTTCTTTTGTTTGTTATTTGTCTTTGATTTTCCTAGCATACACGTGCCTCATTATTCTATTGTCATTAGCGTACACGTTCCCTCCACGAGTTAGACAGCCAACGGCTCATTGTCATAGGTAGTCCATTATTCGTTGTAGTATTTAAGGGACTGCAGGACGACCGAGTCTGGCAGTCTGAATATCATACTCAACTTCTAATCTCCTCCTCTCGTTCTCATCCGTTCTCATCCGCTTGCATCCGTTTGACATCCGACACCGGCCTAAAAGCCTATACTCTGAAATCAGACTTAGACTATCTCAAGGGCGCAACGCACGAACGTTGAAGCCAAAGTGCACATCCGAAATCTCTTCTGAAGCACATCCAAATGCACCGGTCTCCGGCACACCTCAGCTCAGCACAGGTCGTAACAATGGGCAAGAGACTTCTTAAATGGGCTGAACCCCACGCCCACTCACTTCTATAAGCCAGGTACATGTATGAAACCCTGTGTTCAAGCAGCGTGACCTCACATGTCCAGACTGTGTTTGAGCAGTCAGGTTTTCCGAGGCTGCTGGGGTGAGTTTGCCAGGGATGCTGGGGCCATAGGGATTTGTTTGGGGACGGGAGAGGGTAAATAAATGACCAAACAACCCTCCCAGGGGTGGGGCAGGGTTGGGTAGGCCTGCGGGGGGCAGGAGGGGTGGGAAATCCATGGGAAATCCGTCCGAAACAGGCAGGGATGGTGGGGCATGATGATGCGGGATGGNNGGTGTGGCAGGGGGCCTAAAAATGGGTTGGGAGGGGCTAGATATGCATGCTAATAATTGTCATGGCCCCCACGGGGTGCGGGATGGGGCGGGGGAGCCAACAACGCGAAAAATCCAGAGTCTTTTGCATTTTTAACACAAAACAATTGAATAACAAATCAAAAACTTAATATTTTGTTGTGAAACTTTGGGGACCTTTGTATCTATAGTGGAGGGTGCTTCATAAATATTTTGAGTATTTATTATGAATTATGGGGTGCTCCACACAGCCAGGAATAGTGTGTGCAGCGGGGTTTGATGCGCTTTGCCAAATTTGGCAATATTGTGATGCCTGCACATCCATGCATAATTCCGGCTCCCCCTCGCATTATTTCGCTTAGCTTTGGCTGAGCGAAATGTTGGGTACATTTATACCTTCCTGTAGACCTCCTTATCACATGAAACGGGTAAGAACTCGTTGAGATATGGCGAACGCAATTTTGGCTACTAGAATGGATGGTGCACCCATGCATCCTGGGGCATGTTTAGGGCCATCTAACTCATCCAAAAATCGTGGAATACATGTCTGAGAGTAATAGTACCATTGATAATGCCAGGGGGTGTCTGGGTGTAGTAGATCTGAGGGGGGGTATAGGTACACCAGGAGACCCACTCACCCCACTAAACGTGAAAGTCTGAAAGTTGGTACTTGGTACGTAAATAGTGTATATTTATTCATGAATTTAACATATTTTATCATAATTTTATATTGCCTGGAAGTTGGGTTATTGACCGATTTCACACAAGCTAAGATATTCTATTGACATCCAGGATAGGAGATATTGGCCCATGTAAAGTCATGATAAATGATGATAAATGTATAGAAACAGATCGAGGTACTTGCCAGGGCAAGAGAATGAATCTGTGTAAAATTAGTAAGGGGAGAAGGAGGAGGTAGTCCCCTACATCAGTATCTATCTATATACTTACCAAATCTGCATATCGCACCAATTCAATGGTGGGTTCGGGTCAGGATAATGTCCATTAGCATATTTTAGTAGTGCCGGATGAGGCTCCGATGTCTGGGTGAAATGTTATTAGAGAAAGAGCTGAAAATGCGCAAAAAACACGAAAATAATTAAAATGGGTACCTCAGACTTGTTCAAAAATTACCAAACATTGTATATGATGTCCCATTACCATTCTGAAAAGACTGCAAAAAACTGGAGGCGATTCTGAGCAGTGGGTGGAAAGATATGAGAAAAGGTATCACAATGACAGCAATAGCATCACCTTCCTGCAGCAACTTTCTGTTGCCTCTGGTGCTTTGGGAGTTCATTTTGCATATCTTTCCACCCACTGCTCAGAATCGCCTCCAGTTTTTTGCAGTCTTTTCAGAATGGTAATGGGACATCATATACAATGTTTGGTAATTTTTGAACAAGTCTGAGGTACCCATTTTAATTATTTTCGTGTTTTTTGCGCATTTTCAGCTCTTTCTCTAATAACATTTCACCCAGACATCGGAGCCTCATCCGGCACTACTAAAATATGCTAATGGACATTATCCTGACCCGAACCCACCATTGAATTGGTGCGATATGCAGATTTGGTAAGTATATAGATAGATACTGATGTAGGGGACTACCTCCTCCTTCTCCCCTTACTAATTTTACACAGATTCATTCTCTTGCCCTGGCAAGTACCTCGATCTGTTTCTATACATTTATCATCATTTATCATGACTTTACATGGGCCAATATCTCCTATCCTGGATGTCAATAGAATATCTTAGCTTGTGTGAAATCGGTCAATAACCCAACTTCCAGGCAATATAAAATTATGATAAAATATGTTAAATTCATGAATAAATATACACTATTTACGTACCAAGTACCAACTTTCAGACTTTCAGAGGTACGTTTAGTGGGGTATCCAGAGTGGGTCTCCTGGTGTACCTATACCCCCCCTCAGATCTACTACACCCAGACACCCCCTGGCATTATCAATGGTACTATTACTCTCAGACATGTATTCCACGATTTTTGGATGAGTTAGATGGCCCTAAACATGCCCCAGGATGCATGGGTGCACCATCCATTCTAGTAGCCAAAATTGCGTTCGCCATATCTCAACGAGTTCTTACCCGTTTCATGTGATAAGGAGGTCTACAGGAAGGTATAAATGTACCCAACATTTCGCTCAGCCAAAGCTAAGCGAGA